GGGTATGTCTGGCTCTTGCGCGTCATAATAACCTTGTCCGCAGCCGTGAATTAGATAACTTCAAGAATGCAGATCTGGTGGGGGGGAGCTTAAAGTGTGTTGGGCTATTGATTTTGTTGTAGGATTAATACCAGGGATTTGGGGATGGATTTAGGACCTAGACAGACAACTTGCTCAAAACCCAATAAGGAGCCCTAATTACTAGTTCTAACTACTGACTCCTATTCAAACTTGTAGCTCCAACCGAAAACGAAATCCCCCTTTTTTTAACCGCTGCCCTGAATCCCTGGCCCAACACCACCTCTGTACCCCTATTCGTAAACGTACTCATGACTGCCCCGGCTATTTCAGTAAGGTAACCATGCAGGACCAATCATTACCAGTATTTCTTTAACCATTACTTGGTGACAGTCTGTTTTGCTGCTCATCATGCTTACTTCGCATAACTGCCTACTTATTTCGTAGAAGTAAGCATTTTTTCCCATAAAAAAGTATGACACCGTTCCTCCATATTGCACTCTCCACACGGATTTCTTTACCGTCCTGCGGTCACTTTTAGTCCCCGCTAACATCAAGGTTCCTAGTATTAGCTCCAGGATAGCCTAAACATTTTTTTCCGACCATGTTGCCCTTCGTTATCTGATTGGCCGACGCCGTTCAGACGGCCCGACCTGGGGAGTCTTATTGACTCAGCTTCGAAGTTGAGTTCAGTTTAAGTCTTGTTTTTCTTTATTTTATTTTTAATTTTCTGGCTTTTCGTACTATAAAATCCGTCCAAGTACATTAGAAGCTATTGTAAGTTTTAAAGAAATGGGGGAAAAACGACCACTTGTAGTTTTACTTTAATCTCTAAAATTCGATATAGAAGCAATATACGAATCTATCCAACTCGCGTGTACTATTGGCAATTTCTTCTTTCCTACTGTTAGTATTTCTCATTTTAATTGTAGCTCGCCAATCATAAGTTATTTAAATGATTATTCGTATTCTTTTCTACTTTTTAATTATTTATTCTCTCACCTGATATGCTCCACCCATATAACCCCTATTACCACTGGGGCTTTTCGTTTACTCTATAGTGGGCCTGAAATGAGACTTACCCATTATCTGTTTGTGTCCTTTTTTTTCTCCGCCGCTCCCTTAGTTTGGACCTACGGAACGCCAACGTCAACAACGCAGACTTCGACAAAATACCGGAGGCCAAGCGACCGGATGTAATCCTCATAAAACGCCTGCACACAACTTCCGACTCGCCTAAACCAACGAAAAGGAAGCGCAGAACGACGACTTCAGAGACAGCCTCGAATGCGCCCACCGCTAGCGAGCTGGGAGATATCGAGGAGGGAAGCAGTGGGGAGGACGAGGACATGGCGGATGATGTGGAGTACTATGACGCAGAATCAGGTGTGTTAAGCCTCTACACCCTCCGTATCATGTTATGCTCTAAGTTTGCTGTAGTTTTTTAAAGCAGTTTGAGAGTGACGTCACTGGCCTGGTCCGTAGTCCATACGGAAGAGGCAGAAATGCTTGAAAAGTATTAACGAAAAAGTTCTCGAAAGGATCTGTTGGCGGTTGACGATAGTTGAGCCAGAAGTTAGTATGATCCTACAGTGTGATTCCGATCTTTGTGTCGAGTTCTTGCTACTGTATTTGGTTATTATAAAGCTGACTCATGCTGGTCCTATGTCCAGCTCACTAAATCTAAAGATTAGTTTATCATAGCTTCCGTGTGTCAGTCTTCCCCTGGCAGCATTCTCAAAACTGGGCTAGTAGCATTGCCGGAATAGACACGAATGACTGGAATTGTCATTTCTGGCTTATTAACCGTCGTAAACCAGTCATACCCAACCCTAAATGGTGCACCACCCGAGGCTCAAACTCGCGACCTTTTCGATCGGAGTCTAACCACTGAGCCACGACCTCGTCGTCTTGCTAGTTTTAGGTCGGGAGATATTGACACTCCTTGATAAACGTTCACTGGCCACTAACGTAACTCACTTGTCCCACTATGCCTTGGGCCTCATTTCTGGGTAGCGGTTAGTAGTTTAGGCATTTCTGGCTTATTAGCCATCGTCAGCCAGTCATACCCAAGAAATGAGACAGGGCAAGGCAGGTGGGATGGATGAGCTCTGGTAGCGGTTGCTGAAAGTTCCTTCATGATCATCATTCGCCAAATCGCCTGTATGAGACTCGATACGATGGTTTTTACCATGTGGAAAAGACGTCGAACTGTTAATGGCTCTTCGAGTTGGTATTACGAAATTTTCCAACTGTAATGTAAATAGAAGGTCTGTTGAAATTCAGGAAGTAGTATGTTTGCAGCTATATGTTATCTGTTGTGGACCAGGTTCCAAACGTATCTCCGATTCGGCCATGTCGTTGGATTTAGGGAAACAGCAGTTAGAGTTGAACGGGAGGAAACTATCGCATGTCATTTCTCCGTCCTTAATGGGTTTTGTTCGTTTTAATAGCCTTATTCCTTTTCTTTGTTTGTCTAGTCCTCTTTTTAATCATTCGTGTTTACGGATGTTTGAAAAAAAACATCGGAATCTCAAGTTTGTCGATACAGGCTATAAACAAGTAAATTTTCGCAATCGGACTACCTCTTTTTCCTTCTTGTTTGTGCTGTAACTATGGCCAAAGCTGCGTTATCGCCGTCTAACTACGCCCTGTGTGATTCCCCAAGGAAGAACACGACAAGAAGTGCGCAGAGAGCAGAAGTCTTTGTACAAACCTAGTACGTCATACTTAAGCAGGTGATTGCATACAGATTGGACCAATGAGATTGTGGTCTCAGTGAAGACGCGACTCCATTGGCCTTGTGGCTCATTCAGCTGGCGCATTAGAGTCCTTCTCCGGCCGCGCTGTGCGCGTCGTCAC